GTGTGTGTGTGTGTGTGTGTGTGTGTGTGTGTGTGTGTGTGTGTGTGCGTTCTGCCGCGTTGCCAGCTCGACTAAATGTCTTCACATCCCGTCTGTCTGTCATGTGACGTCTCTCTGTACGCGCTTTTATTTTTTATTTTATTTTATTTTCGGTGGTCACACGAGACGAATAAAAATACAAAAAAAAGGAGAAAACAAGGAGAATAAAGAGGACGGCATATAGGAGAATGAGAAGTATATATAAATATATGTGTATATGAAAAGAGGAGATGCTCTCTAGGTTTATTTAAAGATTTAATGTAGAAGAGGAGCGCTTCTCTCTGTTTGGTGGTGAACTTGTTTGTGGTGAAGACTTTCAGACTCTTGCACATAAAGACTTTAGATATCGTACCGGCGAGTTCCAGATGATTATTTTTGTTTGAATACAGGACTCTCTGCTCTTTCATATTTATTGCGTGCGGAGAGCAAAACAAACACAAACTCTCCTCCGACTTTCTGTTCCACACACACCAATACTACTGGCTTCTGGGTAATTATCGCCATCGAGGTTCTGATTATACCGATTCTATAATTGATATTATTCCATGATTATTATGAACTTTATTTTATTTTGATGATTTGTATCTGTTTGTTTGGAGACGGGTAGAAGCGTTGGACTGCTTGTAAAAACAGTTCATCAATAAAATCCTTTTTCCGTGTCGCTTCCTGTCACGACTGCGTTCTTTCTCTTTATCAAACATTCTACTTTTATTAATGTCCACACGTTACGCCTTACTTCAAGTTGTTGGTTTTATTCTTTAATGTTCTTTTGTTTGTTATTCAGAGGTGGAAAGTAGCTTAAATACTCGAGTACTGCACTTAAATACGGTTTGTGGTACTTGTATATGTCTCACACGTGTTGTACTGCACTAACTTTATTACCGGTTACTTCACAGATTAATACTATTAATCAACTAATGAATGATGTGTTGTTGTAGATTAACCTACCAGCAGTTTATAAAGTCATTCAAATTGATAACTATGATAAAATTATATAATAATCTGCATAACGAGAGACTTTTACTTTTGGTACTTGAAGTATGTTTTGATGCTAATACTTTTGCACTTAAGTAAAACTTTAAATGCATGAATTGTACTTGTAACAGAGTATTTCTACACTAGTATTACTACCTTCTACATCCTGCACAGATGTACAAGAGACTATAAATATGATGAACGTTGATGCAGGATTTCTTAAATGTTTAATTTATTACAATCTGAAACACAAGAGACTGAAAGTGAACTATGAGTTTATTTAAATGTTTAAACGTTAACGAGCCTCCATGAAGTCTAACGTGTGAACCTGAGTTTGAACCTGAACCACTGAGAGGAAATGAAGTGTTGAGATTCTCCCAGAATGTTCCAGATGTTTGCAGATGTTTTTGGTGAAACTTGAACAAAGAGTCGCTTCCTCAAAGCTTCACCGTCAGGAGAGAAGAAGAGAAGAAGAGAAGCTCCGTCCTGTAAGTAAAGAAGAGATCAGACGTGTGTTTAAAATAAATAAATAATATTTTATATTATTTCATATTTAAAGTTTGGACCGTTGTGTAAACTCTGTGACAACATCGTTCTGAAGTTCTATTCTACTTTATACTTCACTTTTACAGTTTTCAATACTTTTTACATAAAAAAAAAACTTGTTTAAGTGATATGATGAAGTACTATACTTCTTATCGAAGTAGTAGTATACAAAGTATATAGTATAGTATGCTCCTCTTTGATGAACATTAAAACGCTCATATTTATATTTGTTGGTGATGAAAAGTAGATATTGTACAATAATAAAGCTTGTCTTGGAGTATTTCTATATTATAGTATTTCTACCTTTACTTCAGTAAAAGTTAAAACATTTACAGAGAAGTTTTTTACTAAATGTTGACACGAGATAAATAAATCTTTAAACTCTTTAAGATTAAAACTTAAGAAATAAACCGTCTGTAGCTCAATAAATGCTTCGATCACGTTCTTTTATTATTCATGTCTCACGCTGGAATAAACATTAAATAGAGTTCAGTTAATAAACGTATTTAATAATGAATAATCAGAATCAACACGGAACCGCTGAGGCTGATGGGAAACTTCTGCAGCGATTTAACCAAAGCGTTGAATTAAAGATGAAATCACGTCAACAAACACGGAAACACGTTCGCTACGAACGAAACATCTCAGAAACAGAAAAGCAAAGATCTCAGCTCCTCAAACAAAAAGAACAAAAGTTCAACTTCAAACCCCAAAAACCAGCAGAGCGCACCAAGACCAGGATCCTGGCTCCATGTGGACCTCGTGCTCTCTTTAGGGGTTCATCCTCTGGGGAACATGAACGTCGGAAGCAAATTCCATCACGAGATGTTTCAGTGCGGAATAAATAATAAAATAAATTAAAAAAACAATTCTGCAGCGTCTCTTAAAATGCTGCAAATTATTTGTGTAAATAAACCTGTTTTTCTGCTGATGCTCTATCTCCTCTTCCTACTCCTCCTCTCCCGCCTCCTCTTCCTCCTCCTCCTCCTCTTCTTCCTCCCCCTCCTCTTCTTCCTCCTTTCTCTCCCTCAGCTGGAGCTGTCAATCAAACCGGACAGCTGATGCTTTGCACATGTGCACTTGTGTCGTGAACGAACAGCCGGTGTCCCTTTCCCCCCCCCCCCCTCTCTTTTACTTTATCCATTTTTACAAAATAAAAGTCTTATTGTACATTTATCGGATGATAAACAATAGTTTCATTATGGATTTAATGAACTTCTCTTCTTTTCTTCTTCTTGTTTGGTGTCAAACAGTTCCCCCCCCCCCCCCCCCCTCTATTTATAGCCTGTTATCTGGCGTTTGATTGGCTGCAGGGTGTCACTCTATGTCTGACTCTATTTCTGACTCTGCTGCTTGGTGTCCCAGTCCGGTGCGTCGGTGTCTCGGTGTGTTTGTGTGTCGGTGAGACTCTCAGGATTTTGTCTTTAACCGTCCGGATCTTTTAGCTGTTTTTGTTGTTGAAGGTACGTTTGTTTTCTGTCCACATTCACAGATAATGAAATATTATTTCATGTCTAGAGGGTTTGAGGTGAGGCAGGAAGGCCTGCTGACGGAGGCCCAAAGCCGGGGTTTGATTTGTGGTTTCAGACGGAAGGAACCAGAACGCTGGTTTTTATTTCTTATAGTTTCTCTTCAGAGGGCGTTTCTAGAGACTCCTCGTGGGTCATTCATGTGTCCGTTCATGTGTGAGATCTACAGTTTAAAGAAAGTCCTGCTGCTCAGTCTGGAAATGTTTAGGTTGAGGAAGAAGAAGCTTAAAGATATCAGTGTTTTGGTGTTTTTGGTGTTCTGATTGGCTAAGTTCCTCGTCATGTTCAAACTAGCTGTGGAGTTGTTTACAGCGGACCGACGCAACTGTTCGTCTGGATGTGGTTTCATCCTGTGTGACCCTGATTTTAAATGCAGCCACGAGGACAAATATTTAATCTCAAAGAGCTCAGCGTCCGATGAAAAGACGAGAAAGTAGAAAACTAAACGTGGCGTCTGGTTGGAAACCCGCTGGTCTAAACCTTTTTTAATTTATGTCGACTTAAGAGCAGATAAAACAGAATAAATGACACATCACGAGAGGCATTAGATACATATCGAGTAATGTTAACTAAATGAAAAAAATATCTGTATCAATGAGTCTTTAATGGTGATTTAAAAGATTTGTGCACTGAAATGAAATAAAAGATGGCCGCCTTCTGTTTCAGAAAGGGTTAGTTTAGGTCAGAATCAAAAATCCCCTCCCACCACCTGATCCGTTAATAGTGGATGTTTTACGATACGATATTTAAGCTTAATTAAATATCACGTCTACATGCTTAAAGCTGCAGTGTAGAACGTTTGTATGAGTATGAGCTCATGATGAGCTACTATTCTACAAATACCAGAGACATCCGTGACTCCAACAAGGAGAAGCTTCACCAACTGGGATCCGTGTTCGTCGTCTCTGTCGATTGTTTTTATTTTATCGACTTTTAATCGTTCATCTGAACACAAAGTTTTGCTCTCCAGTTTTGAATGGCCCGATGCTATTGTAGCATCTATGCTAACCTCTTCAGGAGGTCGCCTCTCGTCCTCACACACACAAGCCACGCCCCCTAGCTGCCAGTAGTTCCTCCCAGGCTGCTGATTGGTTCGGACACAGACACATTAATTGACAAGATGGAGTTTTGTGTCACATGCTCCCGAAATTATTGCGTGAGCACGAGACATCGTGAGAAAACAGCTGCCGTACAAAATAACTGTCGTCATGGCACCCTCCCCTCGCCCGCCCCCTTTTAGCGCATCACTTCCTGTGAGCTGCTAGCTGCTAGTTTTGTACACTTTGAGCTTTGTTGATCATATTTAGCGTCTGAGCTCATCGAATCTGTTTCGTTTTTACAACCTCACCGTCTGAAATCAGAGTCTGATATTTGTATTATCTTCGTACTTGAAGAGAAAACAAAAATTATCATTTCAGTTTTACATTCAACTCAATAAACGTAAAAGTCCTCCAGGACTTTATATCTGCCGGGCAGACAAAAGAGGTCAGATATACAGATACAAGACGGATATATAGAGCAGACGATCGTCAGCATAGCATAGGGAAATAATGAACTCATATCTTGACCCAGAGGGAACAATAAAGGACCCAGAATAGAGCCCTGGGGGACTCCACAGGTAATCAATGCACTCAATGTTAATATTCAGAGATCTGTACTGTATCAAAGGAAGCACAAAGGTCTAACAATATTAAAACAGTAGAATAACCAGCATCAAACGTCATTAAGGACCTTTTAGAAGAACAGTGTGGGTGCTTTAATGGAGAAGAAAGACTTAAGAAGGCAAGTTTACTTGATTATTAGTCTGCAATCAATAGAAACTTCAGAGTGTTTCTTTGTTTTGTGCACTTCAAACATGTAAAATGTTAGTTTGAGACAGAAATCTTAACTCAACAGCCACTTACTAGCTTTCTCTGGAGCGTTTCAGCCTCAGCGGACTGACTTCATTATCTTTATTTCATTTAAGTGTTTTCTTTATACCTCTGAACTGAGACACTTTTAAAAACGAGTCAGAACTTATATTTATCACATGTTAATAAACAAATTAAAACATGAAATCCAACATTAGGATGAGTTTAATAAAGCTCATAAAGGTGTGATTGATGACATCAGATCATGGTGACAGCAGACGAGGATAATAACATGAAGCTTATTACAGAACGAGGCCTCGATGGACACAAAGTGATGCAAACATGTTTATGTTTCTGACTGATTTGATCTGAAGGAATGAAATGTTTATTATTGACATTATTTTTGACTGTTGTCTCTCCTTCGTCAGGTTGTTTGTCTCTGTCTGCGCACACACACACACACACCGCCACTCTGACATCACATCTGGCTGTGACCCCTGACCCCCCCCCCCCACTCCTGAACCCACCCCCCTCCTCCGTTGAAACCATGGCGCTGTCTTCACGCTTAAAACTGTGGGAGCAGAAGGGAGGTGCAGAGATGCTGCATGCTGCGTTAATTGAACATCTAATGTGTGTGTGTGTGTGTGTGTGTGGTGCATTGATTACATGGTGAGTGGACTCTCTGTTCTAACCCTGACTCATCATCATCATGTGTTAGTCATCCTGCATGTTTAGAGCTTTTTAAAGCTGCATTCTGTCACTGACATCTGAGGCATGAAGCCGGTTCAGGAGCTTGTGTGTGTGTGTGTGTGTGTGTGTGTGTGTGTGTGTGTGTGTGTGT